TTAACTGGCTTCAGGTTGTTTTTCTTGAAATGACTCATTGCTGAAAGTGTCAATAACTAACAGATGGATGTGAAACAGCAGGGCTCTAAACCCTGAGTGTTTACTGGAGCCATTAGTAAGGCTGAGTTTAACCTAAAATAAATGAATCAGTCGCAGGTTTGCACTATGGTGAAAAAATAAAACATTAGCGTATTACCTTGAAGATATTTTGATTTAGTGTTGGTGGAACCATTTCTGTGTCGATGTGGATCATTGTTCTACTTAAAACCTCAAAAACGACACTTCCTGCCCTCTGATCAAGGAAACCAGAGTTTTATTTCAAATGTCCTGGTGTTTCAGAAACTTTATAGAATCTAACAATGTTCTCTGGGCTTTTAGGCCTGGCTTTATAAATCCTACTTTTCCCTTCTGTTTATAAATCCTAATAAAAGATCCCATGGTGAAATATAAATGCACATACTTCATCAATAAAAACAGGGGAAGGCGATTGCTGAGAGATTAATGTGTCATTTTGTCATGTTTTTCAATACACGCATTATTTCCAGAAATATATCCAAATTAAATGTAATATTTATCCAATGTAAATTTTTTACATTTTCTATAAGTGCTATTCTTTTTTTCTTCTTCTTTTTTTTATGAAAATGTGAAAATGTAGTCAAATACTTTTATCCCAGTTTAGTCTAGTTTCCATCTGGAGATCTTAGTTTTAGTCCTGAACTGCTTTTAATTAAGAACTAGTCTAGTTTATATAAAAAATATAAAATATTGCACAAAATGAGCATTTCTTCATGGAAGGTAGCTTTTAACAACAGAAAAAGGAACAGTGGCGTGCACAGACATTTTTGGGGGCAGGTGCTCAGGTTGGAAAAAGGGCTCCTCGTATGTAGTAGTCTAATTGTTAATATGGTGGAATTTTTAAATGAATCTAATCTATTAACCTAAAGCAGTATGCCTGGTCTGGTTGTTCCATGTCAGGTACGTCGGTCATTAACCTTTACAAAGGAACATTACAGCAGAACTGCAGTCGGTCATTGCTGTAACTAAGATCCTAAGGCAAAATATGAACTTGATGCTGCCTGTGATTTTATCTATTAATGTGATTTTGCTGGTGAAGCTCTGTGGAGTTATTATATTGGTTCATTAATTTAGCTCTATTGTAAATCTGTCAGATTTGAAGGCTGATGACATCATGCACGCACAATTACCAAATAGAAAAATACTATAGGATCAACTGACGTGTACTTTTAATTCAGTCTTTATGTAAAGTCTTAAAATTATATGTAAGATGTAATTACCATAATAATGTCAACAATCCATGTATATTACATTTACATCATCAATTTAGCACTTTTGGCACGTCTGTATTATTCTGCTTCATTAACACATTAATTTTATTGTGATGGATTTATATAACATGTTATTTTACATGATTTATAGACTTCATTCACTTTATAATGACTATGTAATGTGATTGGCCGATTTTTTCTTTAAAATTCTTAAAAAGTTAAAGTTAATCTACTGATGCTATGAAACAGCCAGTCTGTGTCAAAATGATGAATTTATCTTTATTTTAAAAGTCGTTAATCCCCCTGAAAATGAGAACATCATGGTTGTTCGATGCTGTAGGGAACGGATTGTTTACATTGCGACCGGTCTAACTAGGGAGTACCAATATGGCGGCCGGTGGCTTCACTTCAGCCCCGTACTACCAACGAGCAATCAGCAATCCAGGGAATAAATAGAGATCAGTAATAATTAGATGTATGAGTTGCTTTAGTTTTAGTAGTTGCCAAGTAGAGGCCACTAAACACGTTATACAATTAACTAACCGGTTGGTGAAGGAAGTGTATATGATTGTTTGGTTACCTGGATGGTTAGCTGGCCGTTCACCAGGGTAAGGCTCGTTTGAGGTGGTGCTACACGTCTTGTGGTGCAAAATTATAAAAATCTAGACCAGTGATTGGCGACTCCAGTCTTTGAGGGCCGGTTTCCTTCAACATTTAGATTCATCCTAGGTCCAACACACCTGAATCAAAAGGTTGAATCACCTCCCCAGTATGCAATCAATTTCTCCAGTCCAGGATACAGGCCCTCCAGGACTGGAGTTGCCCACCCCTGATCTAGACGCCGGGTTTGATAGGCTTTTAAACTGATTAAGGGTATTTTGTTCCAAAGACTAAAAAATTTCAGGAGGCCAATTTTTTCTCCAGAGGGGAAAAGGACAGCTCCTCTAGCACCATCTAGTGTCCTATCTGTGTACGTCCCTGAAAAGGAAGCAATCACCTTCTTATGTGTGTCTGTGTTGGCAGGTGGTGCGTTCACAGTCCCTCGCGTTAAAGAAAGAACATGGCTTGACCACAGAGGCCGGATCCTTGAAGGAGAACATCAAGAAGAACCGATATAAAGACATCCTGCCATGTATGAACCCCTTTTATTCCTTCCACCTGTCCTCCGTTCTTCTGTCCCTATCATCGCTCTGCTCCACCTGTGAAAGGCTTTATCCTCTCGTCGTCTCTAACCTCGCTCTCTAACCTCGCTGCAGATGATCAGACTCGGGTGGTGCTGTCTCTGAAGACCTCAGGATCTCAGTCTGATTACATCAACGCCAGCTTCATCCAGGTGATGCAGCACATGGTTCAGCTCTCTGGGGTCTCCAGCTGTATGCAGGGAATTTTGTTCATTAATTGTTTCAAAGAAAAAGTTTGGTTAAATGAAAATGAGAAAAAAGGAAATCCAGAAATGAAACTTCAAAGAACATTCTTAATCAACAGGTTTTGAGTTTCTTTTCTTTAACTTATTTTTTAAATATTTTTTTCCCAAATATTCTCATCTTTCACTTCTATTCAGTTTATTTCTATAGCTCCAATTCACATCATGTCATCTCAGGTCACTTTCCAGATCACCAGATCATCCAGTCAGATTGATTCCAAGTTTTCTATCTAAGGAAAACCAGCTGATTGCATCGACTCATTGACTCTTCAGCAATCCCTCACACTAAGCATGCTTGTAGCGACAGTGGAGAGGAAAAACTCCCTTTGAACAGGAAGAAACCTCCAGCAGAACCAGGCTCAGTGTGAGCGGCCATCTGCTGAGGCCCACTGGGGTTCAAGGAGACAGAAGCAGACATAGAAAAAGAAGCATAGATACAGATTCTGCAGAGTGGGAGAATAGAGATAGAATGAGGCAGAATGATGAAAAAGGGGGTCCCTATGTCCTCCAGCAGTCTAAGCCTATAGCAGCAGAACTATAGAGATAGCTCAGGATAACCTGAGCCACTCTAACTAGAAGCTTTATCAAAAAGGAAAGTTTTAAGCCTAGCCTAAAAGTAGACAGGGTGTCTGCCTCACAGACTAAATTTTTATTTTGGATTTCTCTTTTCAAATTGAGTTTTAATGATCTATTTCTTTTTAATTAATGTTTTCCAGATCACATTCTTTACGCTTCTGGGAGGTTGGCTTTCCTCTGGATTCAGTGATGAAGACATATTTCTACTTTAGTAACAAGATTTTATCGGTCGGTTAGCTTGAAGAGAATTTGATCTATAAAACACAATCTGGAAAGAATGCAATTCCTTAAACTCATTATGAAAAAGAGAAATAAGAAAAATTATATTAAAATAAAAACCTCAAAGATAAATTTGTAGGAAAATATTTAATCTGAGAAGACATTAAAGTTAGTCTCTAAACTGTTATATTTTGAGACATTTTTCAGTTTCATTTCTAGATTGAACTTTTTTCTACAGATTTCCATTTACAAAACCTGTTCTTTACCTGAAAGAATAGTGGAACAGAATTGCCTCCATACAGCTGCTGTAAGGAAGCTCCAGGTGTGACTCTAATGTTTGTCCTGCAGGGGGCGTCAGGTGACCGCAAATACATCGCCTCTCAGGCGCCTCTCAGCTCCACTGTGACTGACTTCTGGAGGATGATCTGGCAGCACCAAACCAAGGTCAGACCCTGGTTCCAGGAAATAGTCTGGTCCACAGGGGCTCAGTATATTTAGTGAATGAGGTGTAACATTGGACCATATTTCTGTCCTCCTGCTCCAGCATTAGTGGGAATTTTCTGAATCCGATTTCTTTCACGTTCAGCCGATTCTGTTAAAGTCTGTCTCCAAAATTTGTTTTTTTATGTTTAAAGCTTCCAGAACGTCTTTAACTTCTTTTTCCTGACTCCATCCTAAAGCGAATTGTCCAATCAGGAGGAAGCTCAGCTGACCTTTAAGCCAATCAGATCAGATCTTTATTTCTGCAGAAAAGCATCAGCTGCCTCCACTAAAACCGTCCTGATTGTTAATTTATGGGCTTCCCTGTAGCATAGGGCTGGGTGTCGGCGGTGAAAGGAAGCGGACCGGGTCGGGTTCATGGGGCTAAAGGGGAGCAGCGTCGTTCTGAATGAGAGCAAATCCCCGTCAGGCAGGGAGCAGCTGCTTCTCTAAAGTCTCTGCTGACGTCTTTCGTTCCTGGTTTCATGTAAAATCATCTCTAGATGATTAGTTCTGCTGTTGGTTCCTCAGCAGGTCTGAGTTGTTCATGAATCCAGAGAAGGTTCCTGGCCCTCTGTGGATCATGGTGGGTCTGCAGGTGGGACCCCTCCAGAGCCACTCCTGGTCTCTGAGCTTTTTTAAGTTGATCCAAAGGGTGTTTGTATCCAGCTCCTTTAGTCCCAGTTTAAGCTTCTCAACCGGAGAAGGATGGAGTGGTTCTGGTGCTGGTTTCAGGGGCGCATTCAGGAAATTTGGTAACCTGACTCCGCTAGATGGATTTGCTCCGCATATCCATCTGGAAACCTTCCGTTGAAGTAATTTTGGGAAGGGGCGAAAATACTGGTTAGCTGATTGGCCTATGTTGGTGATAGACGGGCCAAATAAACCAATCAGATCAACGAAGCATATGACGTACTAACAGAGCGACGACGAAGAGGAGCCAATTGATAGATCAAACTCTTGCTGAAACCAGTCGGGAGAAGAGCAAAAACATCTTTTCCTCTGAGAAAAGCCTCCAGAGCAGTGTTTTGCTCTTCTTTCAGTGAAGAAATACTCTGTAATTCCCATAAAACTTGCTCGATAGCCACGCTAACGCTAGTTTCATCGGCTGAAGCCGCCATGTTCTTTAGACTGAACTGTCGCGCTTCTCGTTGCGTCACACCTCAACCCGCCTCAAAGCCAACGCTGATTGGACGTTCGTTTGGTGAACGGCTCCAAATTTTCTTCAACGGAGAGTCTCCAGACTGATCTGCGAGTGAAACCTTGAAAGCTCGCGAGATCAGGATGGTCTCACGAGGCTAGAAATTTGGGACCATAGGCAAAGACAGGCATGGGGCCCTCTGAATTGAGAGGAAAACACATAAGACAGACCCATTCTACAGATAGAGAAATGTTAATAGAATAGGCCTCCAAATGAAAAATGGACGACGGAGGAGACTCATCCACGACCCCCGACACTAAACTCTCCTCCTCTTGCATGTTTCCGCTGTCCATAGCGTTCCTTGACAGCGTCGTTTCTAAGTCACCAATTTAGTGCCACTTGGTCCCAATGGAATTTCCCATTGGGAACCTGCTAGCACTAAGTTGCTAACTGGTTAGCAAGATGCTTCCCACAAACCGACCACAATCAAAGTACTTCCGAACCTTCTGCCATAACAATCCCGCCCCCTTGATAATCGACCAATCACATTGACTTTATTCACTCGTGTAAAGTCGTGCACCACTCAGGAGAATTCAGAAATGCATCGTCCGGAACGGCCGCTTCCCAATGACTTTAATATTATCAGCGTTCTGATGGCATTTTAGCCAAAGGATAATTAATGTGCACAAATAAGGAATAGTTGTAATAACCATACATTTAAACAGAGTTCTCTCCGGGTACTCCGGCTTCCTCCTAGAGACCAAAAACATGACTGTTAGGTTAATTGACTTCTCTAAATTCCCCTTAGGTGTGAGTGTGAAAAGTTGTTTGTCCTGTTTGTCTCTGTGTTGCCCTGCGATGGACTGGAGACCTGTCCAGGGTGGACCCCGCCTCTCGCCCGTAGACAGCTGGAGATAGACACCAGCAGCCCTCGCCACCCTACTTAGGATTAAGCATGTTAGAAAATGGATGTATGGATGTAAACAGAGTTTTGTGGGGCCCCCAGGAACTTAAAGCCCTAGACAACTGCCTAGTATTGCCTATTGCTAAATCCCCCTGGCTGGTGTTTTATCCCTGAGGAAGGGGATGGATCAGAGCACCACCTAAAGACTTCCCTCACGTGTTTCCTTTCTGGCAATGGCGTAACGACACAACAATAGGCCTGTTAGCAACATTATCTAGATGGACATGAAGTACAACACGTGATAACGGTTCAGGATACGGCAACGGTTCCATAAATCGGCCAAGAAGATACAATTATGCAATTCTCAGTAGCATATGATCACACACGGAAATATAGTGACTGCGCACCATGAATGGAACCATCAGTGACAGCGCATCGCCACATGTTAGCCCAACAAGCCATGGGGGCTACCTTCAGCTTCACCGCTCCCCTCCTCACCCACGCTCTCTCCATTGATTTCCTGGTCGCCATCTTTACTCCCTGCAACGTCCTCCTCTCCCTCTTTGGTTTTTTGAAAGAACGTGTTTATTTTCTTTCCTTTTTCTTGTCTGGAATCTGCAATTTTTCACACCATTACATCTGCAAAGAGATGTCCTAGTCTGCAATTTCGTAAGGGGCCCACCAGGTGTCAGTGATGGGGTCCCTAAGAGGTCGTGGGCCCGAAAGAAACTGATGTCTCTGCTTACTGATATTTATTGCTTCCTGGTACCTCCACTCTCCACCCGCGGATCAGGATGAATGGATCTCTGGTTCTGGTGGAAAAGGTTTTTAGTGTCTCCAGATGATGATCTGCTGGGACATCGATGTCTCCCTCACCTCCAGAAGCTTCAGGATCCGACTAACTTCTGAATCTGTGTTTCAGGTGATAATCATGGCCTGCAGGGAGATCGAGATGGGGAAGGTAGCGCCTTTCTCCCTTTCTTTGTCTTCTGCTTTTCTTTGAACATATTAAACATTTTTTTATTTCCAATCATGAAGCTCAGTGGATTGAAATAGCTTCTAATAGTGACGGTTCTGTTTTTGGTTCTGGGCTTTCTCTGCAGAAAAAGTGTGAGTCCTACTGGGCAGCTCCTCATCAGTCTGCAGCATTTGGACCTTTTACTGTAACTTCTGTAAGAACCCAGAACTGTCTGACCTCCTTCTGATCTATTCCTGATCAGAACCTAACATGTTGTCCCTGTAACCATCCAGGAGGCGGAGTCCCGACCCAATGAGGACGTTGTGGTCAGAACTCTGACTGTCAGCTATCAGCAGGTGGGAGCCCACTTCCGTTCACTTTTAACGAGAGTCAGATCACACCTTCATCCCCTGTCCTCCTTCGTCCTCTGCAGGACGTCCGTTCAGTGGTTCAGTTCCAATACTTATCCTGGCCGGACCACGACGTCCCCTATGAGAACGCAGGCGTTCTGGACCTGCTGGAGCGAGCAAGGAGCAGCCGAGGAGGTGATACCGCCCCTGTTCTGGTCCACTGCAGGTAAGGACAGAGACAATAAGACATACTGAGAGACAATGAGACAAACCCAGAGACAATGAGACACACTGAGAGACAATGAGACAAACCAAGAGATAATTAGACACACTGAGAGACAATGAGACAAACCCAGAGACTATGAGACACACTGAGAGACAATAAAGCATTCTAAGAGACAATGAGAGACAAAGAGACTCACTGAGAGACAAAGAGACACACTGAGAGACAATAAAGTATTCTAAGAGACAATGAGACAAACCAAGAGATGATTAGACACACTGAGAGACAATGAGAGACACTGAGAGACAAAGAGACACACTGAGAGACAAGGAGACACACTGAGAGACGAGGAGACACACTGAGAGACGAGGAGACACACTAAGAGACACTGAGAGACAATGAGACACACTGAGAGACAATAAAGCATTCTAAGAGACAATGAGACAAACCAAAAGATGATTAGACACACTGAGAGACAATGAGAGACACTGAGAGACAAAGAGACACACTGAGAGACAAGGAGACACACTGAGAGACGAGGAGACACACTAAGAGACACTGAGAGACAATGAGGCATAGTGAGAGACTCTCAGAGACACGCGGTGTCGCCCTCTAATCGGTGCTTAGTTTCACATCATCTCTGCAGCTTGTTTGTGCCAACAGCTCTGATCACAGGTCAGCTGGTCATTAACATTCATCAGGAGCCCCCCCCCCCCCCCCACAGCCAGCCAGCCAACGCTCAGAGAGCAGGAGGCTGTGAATATGCAGCAGGTAACACCTGCTATCGATGGCACGGCTAACATGCTCACTGCATCTGCTGCTGTGTGTTTCAGTGCGGGCTGTGGGAGGACAGGAGTCATCTGTGCTCTCGACTACATCTATGACCTTCTGGTTACCAAGGTAACACACGTCAACAAGATCCTATTCTATTCCTTAGCTAGTTCTGATAAACATCTCTGGATAAAGAGCAGAAGCTCTGGAAGCAGATGGGTCCTTCAGGAGGAAGCACATGATGATGATGATGATCAGAAACGAGGACAGCTGTCAGCTTTTAAAATGATGGGTCTGTTTGTTGTCCTGTTCCTTCTGCAGCGGATCTCCCAAGACTTCAGCATCCTGAGCATTGTCCTGGAACTCCGCAGACAAAGACCCTCTGCTGTGCAGACCAAAGTAGGTGCCCTCAGTCCAGACAATCATCTGCAGCACTTCCACACACTTCCCTGGAATTACAGCACTTTCTTCCCGTTATTCGTAGTAATATGTCCACAGGTCTCCAACCTCTTTCAGTTTTATAAATTCTCCAGCAGTTTTTATTTAGTCCAGCAGCTGCACAGCCCTGTTCCACTTTGCGCGTGTAGTTTATCGATAAAAAAACGGAGGTGATCCTGAAGGCAGCATTTATTGGGGCAATAATAATGAACACAGTCAGATAAACACAAATCAAATGAACATTTTGCCAAATGAAACAAAAAGATAACCTCCATCATAGCCGGCGGTCCTTTACACACGGCTATGCAGAGAGAGGGCCGCTGCAGGCGGGCTAACGATAGCCCTGGCTGCTGCAGACGGGTTATCGATAGCCCTGGCTGCAGCAGACGGGTTAAAGTTAGCCCTAGCCGCTGCAGACGGGCTAAAGTTAGCCCTGGCTGCTGCAGACGGGCTAACATTAGCCCTGGCTGCTGCAGACGAGCTAACGTTAGCCCCATACAAGTAAGCATAATGAGAAACGGTCATTGTTTTTGGATAAGCAAGATGCCACGACTTATGAGTAACTTTCACTTAACGTATGTCAATGATCAGATAACTTACCTGGAACTTATGGCCCACGTATGGATGGCCAACGCTTGCATACGTCGGGACGTAAGGTCCGTATGTTGATGTGTTTCAGCGTACTTATCCAACGTATGCCAGCATTTTTGTCAGATTTTTTCGTACATCAGGCATACGCTGATCTAAATCGTCAAGGTGTGACAGGGCCATTACAGTCCACTTATATTGGGTGAATTTCAGCACATATTCAGGTTTTAGAAATTTACGTAGAAGGACCTGGAAAAAAAGCTATCTCAGGTTTCAGGTCTCAGAAAAATATTGTCAGGTCTCTGGTAAACATTTGTAAGATTTCAGGTCTGATGAACAATGGGAAAAAAAAATTTTTATCAGATCTCTGGGAAAAAGTTTAATAATAAGCTAATTTCTAAAATCTGATTGAGCTTTTTTTCCAAACACTTGTTTTTCTGGGACCTGAAGAAGTCCTGAAATGAACCCTTTACACAACGCTCTACCAGCTGAAAGTGTTGACATTATCTGTGAGGCCATCCCTCAGTTTATACCTGCATCATCTCTGCAGGATCAATATCGCTTCATCTTCACCGCAGTCGCCAGCATGTTTGAACGCTTCCTGCAGACATCTGATGACGGTCTCTACTGCAACCTGTCTGAGGTAAAACACAGTGATGTCCCAGAGCATGCAACACAGGAGGAAGTCCTCTCAAAGCAGTGCGGAAAGAAGAAGTGCTTCGACTAACTTCCTGTATGGAAATTCAGAGCTGCAACTTGACTATTAGTTGTTCCGATCGCAGAGAGACATTAGAAGAGAGGATTTCAGAAACGAGAGCAGATGTAGGACGACCCCTGACAGGTAGGCTCTGCTGGCTGATCGTTTCTGCTCCTTTTTCTGTTCATGTGTCTGAGGAAGGTCTGACAGGTCGGCATGGCAACGCTTGGTTACTCAATCAAAAAGGAGGATCATTCTGAATTCATCTCAGTCGTTTTGAAAAGCCGTTTCTTTCTAACCATGAGGTCTTTCAGATGCGCTCTTATCTACACAAAACAGAGTAGAAGAACTGGTTTGGTGAGCCTCGCCGTTTGAGGCGAGAGGCTCCATGCCGTCTGGGACAAACACTGAGGGAAAATTATTATTTTTTTTTTTTCAAATTGTTTTCCACTTCTTGGAACGCCTGTTTGTTGGCACTGAGGTCAGAAGGTTCCAGAAAGCAGAATGAACCAGCATGAATTTTCACTAAGCGTAATGATGACTTCAAATTCTGCTCATCTTACACAACCACGACCATCTCCAGGTCAGACATCAGGTTCTTCTCTCTTCAGCGTCTAATCATGACCTTCTAAAGTTCATGGCAGCTTGTAGAACCACGGTAGATGGTTTAGGTTCTGTCTGGTTTAACTTCATCCACCTATTTCCTTCCGCTTTATCCTGGGGCCGGGTCATGGATGCAGCAGTCTAAGCAGGGCCAGCTCAGAGACTTAGTCCCTCCAGCGTGTCCTAGGCCTTCCACCAGGCCTCCTCCCAATGGGACATGCCTGGAAGGGAGGCGACCAAAAGGCATCCGGAACAGATGCCCGAGCCTCCTCAGTTGGCTCCTTTCGACATGGAGGAGCAGCGACTCTACTCTGAGCTCCTCCCGGGTAACTGAGCTCCTCACCCGATCTGAAAGGGTGCGCCCAGCCACCCTGCGTAGGAAACTCATTTCTACCACTTGTATTCCCAATCTTGTCCTTTCGGTCATTACCCAGATCTCATGACCATGAGGGTGGGAACGTAGCCTCGTGAGACCATCCTGATCTCGTAGAATGGGTCTGTTTTATGTGATGTCTTCTCAATTCAGAGGGCCCCATGCCTGTCTTTGCCTATGGCCCCAAATTTCTAGCCTCGTGAGACCATCCTGATCTCGCGAGCTTTCAAGGTTTCACTCGCTAATCAGTCTGGAGACTCTCCGTTAAAGAAAATTTGGAGCCGTTCACCAAACGAACGTCCAATCAGTGTTGGCTTTGAGGCGGGTTGAGGTGTGACGCAACGAGAAGCGCGACAGTTCAGTCTAAAGAACATGGCGGCTTCAGCCGATGAAACTAGCGTTAGCGTGGCTATCGAGCAAGTTTTATCGGAATACAGAGTATTTCTTCACTGAAAGAAGAGCAAAACACTGCTCTGGAGGCTTTTCTCAGAGAAAAAGATGTTTTTGCTCTTCTCCCGACTGGTTTCAGCAAGAGTTTGATCTATCAATTGGCTTCTCTTCATCGTCGCTCTGTTAGTACGTCATATGCTTCGTTGATCTGATTGGTTTATTTGGCCCGTCTATCACCAACATAGGCCAATCAGCTAACCAGTATTTTCGCCCCTTCCCAAAATTACTTCTATGGAAGGTTTCCAGATGGATATGCGGAGCAAATCCATCTAGCGGAGTCTGGTTAGTGGGAACGTAGATTGATCGGTAAATTGAGAGCTTTGCCCCCTCGGCTCAGCTCCCTCTTCACCACGACAGGCCGATACAGCGACCGCATCACTGCCGACATCTGTCGATTTCATGCTCCATCCGTCCCTCGTGAACAAGACCCCTAAATACTTGAACTCCTCCACTTGAGACGAAGACTCTCCACCGACCTGAAGAGGGGAGTCCACCTTTCTCCTGTGGAGAACCATGGCTTCGGATTTGGAGATGCTGATCCTCATCCCGGCCGCTTCACTCTCGGCTGCAAACGGCCCCAGTGCACGTTGGAGGGCCTGGTTTGATGAGGCCAACAGGACAACATCATCTGCAAACAGCAGAGGTGATATCCTGAGGTTCCCCAAACCGGACATCCTCTGGTCCCTGGCTGTGCCTAGAAATTCTGTCCATTAATGTAATGAACAGAACCGGTGACAAAGGGCATCTGTTGGTCCTTGTTGGCAGACATCATCTTCTAAGGAGCCCTCTGGTCTGGTTGGAATCTGGAGTATGACAAGATCATTTATTTATTTATTTATTTTGCTTCATTGTTCCGTTGTTGCCCAACTTTGACCGAGCTTCAGATAATTTCACAGCTATTTTTGTTTGACAGCTGCTAGGAGATGCTTGCGCTGTGTTTGGTTTCCTAGCAACATTGTCTGACATGGTGTCCAGAGGAGGTTTTCCTAGGAGTCCTGAGCTTCATCCAGATGCAACCTTGTTAACTCCTGCTGCTGCCTGGTTTTTAGGGAGAAAGTTTTCCTTTGTCTGCCCTCTCAGTTCTGGTGGGGGGGGGTTAGGCCTTCAACGTTCATGATCCTTTCTCTAGATTTATAGCTTAACCTTGTCTTATGTTGGTGAACGTTGCAGAGTGTGGCATTTCAACTATGCAACTGACAGCTGACTTTACTTCTAGGGATGTATGATATATGATATTTTTTTCATGCATTGATGTTTTGGGCCTGGTGATGCACTAAAGGGCATCTCTCTAACATCTATAAATATAAATATCAGTGTGCTGTTGTCTTGTGTTCTCAAAAATAAGTATTCAATAAATATACGTTTGACCTAATTTTTGGAAAATTAGCCTAATGAAAGTCTAACTGTAGGTCCATGAGCCTCCACCCGAGTGTCCCCACCAACTTTCATCACAAAGTTAAACCCTTGCGCTGACGGTAGCCTGGACACCGGCGGCCTCGTGCTTACCGAAGCACGGTAAGGCAGGTGGGTGGAAGCATACCGTCATCGGGTCGGGATGTTTGCTCCATCCCCGGCTGGCTCCCTGCCCCCGTACGCCGGGGTTACTAGACCTGACCCGAAGCTGATGGCTCGGTTCGAGTGCCCGGTTCAGCTAGTATTGCTATTCTTAGCATTAGCTAAAGTTAGCATTAGCTAGAGTTAGCATTATCCAGAGTTAGTATTAGCTACTGTTAATATTAGCTAGAGTTAGTATTAGCTACCGTTAGCATTAGCTACAGTTAGAATTAGCTACTTAGCTAGTGATAGCATTAGCTACTGTTAGCATTAGCTAGAGTTAGCATTAGCTAGAGTTAGTATTAGCTACTGTCAGTATTGCTACTGTTAGCTTTAGCTAGAGTTAGCATTAGCTATAGTTAGCATTAGCTACTGTTAGTATTAACTACCGTTAGTATTGGCTAGTGATAGCATTAGCTACTGTTAGCATTAGCTACAGTTAGCATTAGCTAGAGTTAGTATTAGCTACTGTCAGTATTGCTACTGTTAGCTTTAGCTAGAGTTAGCATTAGCTATAGTTAGCATTAGCTACAGTTAGTATTAACCATAGATATCCATAATAAAGGCTAGATGTCTCGTCCGCGCTGCTGGCCAATGGGGGTCGACGTCCGCACGTGGCGGCCATCTTACAACAGGCAGCTCGCTCATTCGTAGCATTGTGTTTCAATGGCACATGTACTGAAATAACCATAACTTCCTCAATTGTCTAACTATTCTCAAACTGTTTGGTTTGTTAAACAAAAGTCAGACATGTAGTTGTGATACTGCACACTTAGGAATAATTATAACCATGGAATTTCATATGAAAAGAACACTGAATAGAACATACAGGTGCAATAAATATACACATGCACAAGGTATTTATGTTAAATCAATATATGCTATTAAAACTCAGTGTACAGAATGGCAACCATATATATATGGTCCCAGAAATATATATTTATATATATATTTTATATATAATGTATATATACAATATATATATAATATATATATATATATACACTATATTGCCAAAAGTATTTGCTCACCTGCCTTGACTCACATATGAGCTTAAGTGACATCCCGTTCCTAATCCATAGGGTTCAATATGACGTCGGTCCACCCTTTGCAGCTAGAACAGCTTCAACTCTTCTGGGAAGGCTGTCCACAAGGTTTAGGAGTGTGTTTATGGGAATTTTTGACCATTCTTCCAGAAGCGCATTTGTGAGGTCGCACACTGATGTTGGACGAGAAGGCCTGGCTCTCAGTCTCCGCTCTAATTCATCCCAAAGGTGTTCTATCGGGTTGAGGTCAGGACTCTGTGCAGGCCAGTCAAGTTCATCCACACCAGACTCTGTCATCCATGTCTTTATGGACCTTGCTTTGTGCACTGGTGCACAGTCATGTTGGAAGAGGAAGGGGCCAGCTCCAAACTGTTCCCACAAAGTTGGGAGCATGGAATTGTCCAAAATGTCTTGGTATGCTGAAGCATTCAGAGTTCCTTTCACTGGAACTAAGGGGCCAAGCCCAGCTCCTGAAAAACAACCTCACACCATAATCCCCCCCTCCACCAAACTTTACACTTGGCACAATGCAGTCAGACAAGTACCGTTCTCCTGGCAACCGCCAAACCCAGACCCGTCCATCAGATTGCCAGATGGAGAAGCGCGATTCGTCACTCCAGAGAACGCGTCTCCACTGCTCTAGAGTCCAGTGGCGGCGTGCTTTACACCACCGCATCCGACGCTTTGCATTGCACTTGGTGATGTATGGCTTGGATGCAGCTGCTCGACCATGGAAACCCATTCCATGAAGCTCTCTGCGCACTGTTCTTGAGCTAATCTGAAGGCCACATGAAGTTTGGAGGTCTGTAGTGATTGACTCTGCAGAAAGTTGGCGACCTCTTCGCACTATGCGCGTCAGCATCCGCTGACCCCGCTCCGTCAGTTTACGTGGCCTACCACTTCGTGGCTGAGTTGCTGTC